CCAAAGGTTATTTGGTTTATAAGAGAAACCAATCTACCTCTTTCTTTAAATTAAAATTTTATCTAAACAAGTGGAAGGGGGTTTTGTTTCCTTTACTTTACTTTACTTTCCCTTCCTTCAATCCAAACATACTGTAAGTTCAACTATCACCATTAATAATATATTACAAGATTTCAAAAGGCTTAACATTATTGATGTGCAAATTTCAAAAGTTATTGTCCTTATTGTAAGAAAATCTCAAATTCTAACACTTCTCAAGATTTTTCTTTGAGATTCTACGTTTAGTCCTTAAAAATTCAAACCTTGCTTTTGGAAGAACTTTAGTCGTTATGTCAGCAATCTGATATTTAGAGTAACAGTGTATTAAGTTTACTTTACCAAGTTTTTCAACTTCTCTAACTGTATGAAACTTCATATTGATGTACTTAGTTTTGCCCTGTTGAACTAGATTCATTATGATTGCTATAGTAAATTTGTTGTCAACCCATATTGCAATAGTTTCATTTTAGTATTACTTCAAATCTGTCAAAACTTTTCTAAGCCAAATAATTTGATTTACTACTGCAGCAGTAGAAACATACTCAACTTCAGCTAAGGGTTGAACCACCACATCTTGCTTTTTTGAATTTAAGGAGAAACCATCACTGCCAAAAGAAAAAACATAACTTGAAGTATTTTTGGAATCATTCACACTTCTTGCCCAGTCACTATTTACATATCCTTAAAGCTTGTTGCTTTATGCTTTAGTTACCATATGTTATAATTAACTGTACCTCTGATATATCTCTAGTGAACTTGACTAAGAGATTACATGAATCTTAAAAGCAAACTTGCTGAGTACATTATAACATGTTTAATGGCTAAAAGATACGGCAAACTCCCAATTAAGCTTCTGTATACAGAAACATCATCCTTGTTTGCTATGTCATTCTTTGACAATTTTTCATTAGCCACCAATGGTGTAGCCACTTATTTGCACTTTTTCATATTGAACTTCTTTAAGATCTCTAAAGCATATTTTCTTGGTGAAATGAAAATCCTAACATCATCTTGACTGATTTACATTCCAAGAAAATATCTCATTTTGTCTAAGTCAAACTTTTCAAAGAAAAATCTCAAAGGGGAGTGTTAGACTTTGATATTTTTCTATAGTATGGACAATAGCTTTTGAAATTTATTTATCAGTAATGTTAGCTTTTTGAAATCTTATAATGTATTATTAATGGTGTTAGTTGAACTTAGTCAAAAACCATGTGAAACTCCTTGAAACAAAAAGACATGTATCAACTACTATTCCTAATACTTTTGTATAAATTATATGGTAATGAAATGAAGTGTGAGTGTGTATTCCTAGCTCATATCACTTTTTGTTCTCTACGGTGAGTATTTCGTTTTCTTTCTCAATACCACAATAGCCATATTGACATACAACATATATATCATTTTTATCATGTAAGCTAGCCAAATTTTAAACCAAGTTATTTACATGCATGTTCTTCAAAGTTGAATAACTAAAATGGCCACCTCTCAAGAACACTTACAAGTACCTTTTCAACAATCCTTTTATTTGACAATTCTTCTTCATGCAGCCTTAGTTAGTATGAGTCCATTAGAATACTTCTTAACATTCTCAATATCTTTCATCTTTAGAACTTGAAACTCCCTTCATAAGTTAGGCATTTGAATTTGCCTTGTTTTGTCACTCTTATGGAACTCTTCCTTAAATTTGTCCCATGTTGTTTTGGTTGTTTCATAAGTCACTATTCTTGTCAAAATCATATCTGACACAACTGAATGGATGTAAGACAAAGCTTTGTATCTTTTGAAAACCTCTTCACTTTGTTGTTTAATTTAAGCAATTATTGGATTTGCTTTTAAAGTGGATGAATCTCTTCCTGTTTCCACTACTTCCCACAAATCAAATGCTTTCAAAAGACTTCATTTTTACTGACCAAATAGAATAATTTTCTCCTATAAAAATAAGAGGTGATGGAGTTGCAAAACTGTTAAAAGCCATGTAGTAGGTTCTAAAAGTTTTAAGGAATGAAGTTTTTCTAGTTTGCATTCTAACTTATAGCGCTTAAGATCATTTCTAATGCTCCGATACCATGTTTTGGTATTAAGAAAAAAAATAAAATTTTCATTGTAGAGAACAAAAATGGGATATGAACTAGGAACAGACACTCACATTTCATTTCATTATCATATAATTTATACAAAAGCATTAGTTGTAGTAGTTGACACATGTCTCCTTATTTCAAGGAGTTTCACATGGTTTTTGACTAAGTTCAATTAACATTATTAATAATATGTTACAAGATTTCAAAATGTTAACATTATTGATAGATAAATTTCAAAAGCTATTGTCTCTAACAATAACATACAATTCAAAAGGTCATGTTTCAACCCAAGTTAAAGGTACATCAGTGAGTGCTTTTAACATGCTTCAATTATATCCATGTCAAGAGGAGAGGTGATCAAAAAAGACATAAGCTATGAGGGAAGATATCAGTTTTTATTGGAATCTTATTAATTAGTATGACATATTGATGCAATTATATATACATATATAAATATATATATGATTCATTCTCGCTAATGTGATATCATAATCAAATAGGTTCTACTTATATTTTTAAATTTTTTTAATTACATATTTCTCTTGTTGATTCCTATTTAATCATAATTTACTCTTGGCTAATTGTTCATAAAATGGTGCATCAGATTTTTATCAACTTGTCTATTAAAAATCAATAATATTCTTTCATATGTTATCCACTAAAAGCTAAAACTATATATGGAATTTTATCTCTAATTCTTAAATGAAATAAATTTTATTGCAAGGTTAACTAGATCCTGAATATTACATGACCCAAAAATTAACTTAAAAGAGTGATGTTTACAGTTTTGACATGGTAATGCTTGAACTTATAACAACCAAGCAACCTATTAAGAAAGGTAAATACAATATTGTGTGCGAGACACGAAAAAAACAATGGATAAGGATGATGAAAAGAATTATGGATTGAGGGAGTTAATGGATCCAAGCATTAGAAGTAAAGAAAATCTTGTAGGACTTGGAAAATTCTTGGAGTTGGCAATGTGTTAAAGATTCAGCTATAGACCATCCAACAATTAGCCAAGTAGTAAAGGCCATTGAAACCCTATTGCAAAATGATGGGAAGAATACAAACTTAACAACTACTTTTGGCTTCTACCATTGATTTTGGAGGTGCAAAATTAGTTTCTATTAAACACCCTTAGGGCAATACTTTACCTTATAAAAAAGATGTCAAAAACAGTGATGCTTTCAACTGCAATGGTGGATACAGACTTTCTACAAAGCTTGAACCCAAGTAGATCATCTAGCTTTCGTCCTTCCTCTTCATTAATTTTTTGTTTTTTCTTTTCTTAATTAGAATCTTCACAAGTGTTTTTTTTTTTTTTTTTGAATTCTAGATGGCCTAGCTATCCTTGTTATCAAGAGAAATGAAATAAGACATATGTAAGGAAGTTAATGTTACATAAAGGTTACTCACTCTCTCTCTCTCTATATATATATATATTAATGTCAACAACATTGTGATAATTAATGTAGGCAAAAGCAATATATATGTGATATAATTAATAAGCATATATATAGATTAATATCTAATAATTTATGACATAATATTCATTTAAACCCATATATGTTAAAGCAAATTTGTTTATAAAACATTTACTCCCTTTATATCATAGTAAAATGGAGATCAATTCAATATAAAAAGAATAAATTCAAGAGCAAACAATTCAAATGTAAAGGCAAATATTTTCAAATGTAAGAATAAATATACTAATATATCCAATTGAAGAATTTTAAGACAATAATTGCAAAGTTATTACATAATATATAGCATGAGCAAAGAGATATAGTATTGTTAGTGGATAAGTCTTATAAATCATGTCATATAATCATGTTTTAGATAAAATATGCTTTTTGAATATAAGGTTTTCAAGAAAGTATTTCATCAAAATATTTATCAATGTTAAACAAAAATAGACATTTAAGCGTAAATATATTCAAACAAAATTTATACTCTATGACTTCTCTCCCTTTTTTTAATAACAAAAGGAGAAAAAAAATCAATTTAAAATGCAAATAATAATTTTTGCTTAAAAACATAAGCTATATTAAAGATAAACACATATTTTTGCATGATAAAGAACATCCCATGAAAGTTAAATAGTTCATTAACATCTTTATCTAACAACTTTTAAGGAACAAATATATCTCAAGCATATGGAATGCTTTAAAATATATCACAATCAATAATTCTCAAGTGATTAGGAATCTTCCATAAGCATATGCAATACAAAGCAATACCCATAAGAACCATAAGCTCATATATCATTTAATAAGGAATGACTATAATAAGGTTCTAACCATCATGCTATATCAAAAATCATAAAAGCATTATTGCTCAAATGTTTCAAACAATCCGATGTAGAGAAATATACCTAATCCAAACACACATGAGCATTTAAATTCAATTTGGACTTTTAAAATCAATTTATCTTAATAAAGTTGACTTTAGGCTTAAAAATTGTATTTGGACTTTCAACACTAAATTTTAGGTTTTTAAGCCTATATAACCTAATTTAAAATTAACCCAAATTAAATAGGATTGGACCTAAACCCACGCAAAATGACCCTATAAAATTGATCTTAAACAAAGCTCATTACCAGATAAATTCAATTAAAGTGCTTAAATAGGTCTAAATTGAAATGTCCAAAATAAGTATAAAAATCGGATAAACTCAAATTATCCTAGATAAAATTAAGTGTCTACAAACAAGTGAGCACAAAGTCATCAACTTACTAGCCAGCTAGCATAAGATAGGTGCATTAGGTGGCTCTAAGACTATACTTTGGTAATTCAACTACATGAGCAATAGGCAGGTAATTACCTAGAATAATATCATAAGGAAAATCTTATTCTAGGGTACTATATCCGGCTGCATTCATTCATATGCTTCAATGTTTCTAAGACTATACTTTGGTAATTCAACTACATGAGCAATAGGCAGGTAATTACCTAGAATAATATCATAAGGAAAATCTTATTCTAGGGTACTATATCCGGCTGCATTCATTCATATGCTTCAATGTTTCCCTGCCTTGGTTTTCGAGGTCTTGTTCATGATACTGATCATCATGTGGTTCACCAAGTGACAGAGACGGGTTGTAAGAATAATATGAAGACCAGAAAAGATAATTGCAGAAGTTGAGGAGGCTAAGAGTGGCTAACATCCAATAGAAAAGGTCTAGCCTGCCCTTGTTGAGGTCGTTGTCACTAAGCCAGCCACTATGACTATGAGAGGAAGAGGATGTAATTCTGTTCACAAGGGAAACAAGTATGGAGCTAAGGTAGAACCCAAATGAGTATGAGCAGTAAGTCATGGCCGTTAGAAATGATTGTATCCCCTCCAAGGACTGTTTGTAGAAGAATTCTATAAGACCTACTGCGGTGAACATTTCTGATAGCCCAAAGATAAGAAATTGTGGAGCAATCCAAAAGATGGATACAGTCTCATTGGAATGTAAGGCTGAGATTCTTCTTTTTTTCTCCACCAGGGCAGCTGCAACCATTGAGAAAGTTGCAACAAATAGACCGATCCCAATCCTTTGTAAAGGAGTGATTCCAGAATCCTTTTCAGTGATTTTTCTAGCAATAGGAACGAATACTGTTTCATATAGTGGAACAACAAAAATAAGCATGATGTAAGGAATCGATTGCAAGGAAGCTGGTGGAATTTTGAATCCATTCATGATCCGCGTGTTCATAGTACTTCCTTGTTGGACTGAAAATGTTTGGAGCTGTGCTAAAATGGTGTTAAAAATGATGGTGCAGGCAAATATAGGAATAACCGAGATGATTATCTTCACTTGCTCGACTTGGGTCACTGTGCATAGTCTCCACGGACTCTCTTTTTTTCCATCCTGGATTTTGATACATGCCTTGTCAAGGAATCTACAACATGAATATGATGAAAATCATTAGAATCGTAAAATGCTCAACTTTAAACACGATTTTCATATCAAAATAGGAAAAACAAAATGAAAAGTCCTAATACAAATATAGCAGAGGTCCTATATCTCCCTGATGAAAACAGGACAAGATCTAGAGAGACTTCGGCATTGTGATATTATTGGTGGCTTCAACATCTTGCAATAAATATTAAGGTCCACTGTTTTTCTTAACGTTTTGAATCTTTCTATTCTACCCCACCTGAACTTGTCTGTATGAAGAAGGTTGCTGACATTGGCCGACATACCAGGAATCTGGTTTGGCACATTGTTTTGGCTTACATGGAGCAACTGTACATTTGAAGGGCAGATTTGCTTTCGTTTTGTTATTGCAGCAACAAAAACCTGTAAAAGTAGAAAGCAAACAAAAGGAACTGAATAGGTGGGGGGGGGGGGGGGGGTTAAAGGCTATACATTCTATATTGATGCAATATTTCTTTCACTTTCTTCCTTTTAATTTGGTACACATCAGTTTTTCCTTTAATTGTTGATAAATTAATCGGCAAAGAGAAAAACTACTTCAATTAGCCGTCCAAACATAAAATAAGTTGAAAGAAAATACTTTTGGCTGTCCTAAAATGAACCAGCAGAAACCAGAGCCACAAAAAGATTGCTCAAGAATTTTAACTCAGTGAATTAAAATAATTCATATATAGAAGAGATATGCAAAAAGAAGATTTCATATCCTCAGCTTGGTAAAAAGAAGCAATAGAAAGTTTAAAGTTTCTTTCTTTTAGCTTTATTACTTTTATTGCTCATTAAGAAACAGAGCCTAAAAAGAAACTATTAGCTTCAAGGATAAAATAAAAGAAAACGGTTCTTGGTTAACAGGCCTGGAGATGCAGAAACTAGCTAGAACAAAGAACTTCAAAGTGTGAAGAAAGAAACTTGATCATGGTAAAGCTTTGTCTTGCCTAAAGAAAAAATAATTAAAAAAAAGGGCACCTGAGCAATTGGAGTGAAGATACTTCCTCTTGGTGGTTTGTTCCTATAAAGAAGCGTACCGGAAATCAAGCTTATCATTCCCATTGCCATAGCAGCAGCTGAGACGCCAAATCCAACATCCATTCCAGAATGAGTTTGGACCCAAACGACAAGAGTCAGTGCAATTAGCTCTCCCATGCAAAAAGCAAAGTATGCTATATTGAAGTAAGTTGAGAGCTTCTTGGATTGCTTTGAGTCTTCCCTTCTGAATTGATCAGCCCCCAGAGATATTATGTTGGGTTTGAGGCATCCACTTCCTAAAGCCACCAAGTAGAGTGCAAGAAAGAATATCAAGGCTTTGTAGCCCTTTGCCTCCAGACATTGATCTCCATGAGACACCATATCACAATGGGGTGGCCTCAGTTGCGGAAGATGTGCTTGAATGGAAAGTAATATAAAACCCTGCAAAACATTATCCTGTAAGTGTCAAGCCAGTAGGCTTCCATGCCAGTACTGATTGCTGCTGGAAAACACTGGGCTGTAAAATAAAACCATTGATCACAGAAACATTCACCTACACCTTACTTTACAATAAGACCGGCTTGTAGAAGTTAAATGGATTAGCTGGGATGCCAAGGGAGACAAGAGTGTGGAGAATCCAAATTGAAGATACATATATAGTGCTTGAATTATGAAAGATTTAGCAGAAAACCACTAAAAGGGAACGCACCAGAGAAAACGATTACTTACAGAGAGCTCCACAAATCCAAAAATTAACATGGTCCAGAAGCTCCCCAGATATGAATCTGAGAGGAACCCACCAACTAGTGAGAGGATGAACACAGTTCCAATAAAGTTGGTGACTATGTTGGCAGACTTTGATAAGGGAAAATGCATCTCATTGAAGACATAAGTTATTAGATTGTTCCCAACAGCGGCAATCGCCATCATCTCGAATGCTTGAAGACCTGAAATCAACCACCAGTAACAGAAGATTAATTCCCAGTCGTGAGATGCATATTGCATAACGTAAAAGAAAACAGTATTAAATATGCTTTCGACTCTACTGCTTCCACCATTAAATTTGGATTATAGTATGAGTATCCACTTCACTACTGAAAGTAGTTGCAGAACGGAACTAAGAAGGCGATTAGCAATCTTATATAAAGTAAACAGCCAGCATAGTCAAACTGTCTTGCCAAATTTGCTAGGAGAAAGAGGAAACAGTTTGAAAGAAGTGCAAAATGAAATTGTTTACTGATTTATGGTTCAGCATACAGTGGCGAGACCTGTTTATCTTGGAATTCACAAGAGACTGAGAGAAAAACAAGACATGAGTGGAAGCTAAAGCACAAGAAAGTATGCTATAGGCACGGGAGAAAGAGGAAGAGAGATAGAGACCAAGGACGAATACAGCAGCAGTTATTCCACCATGCTTGTTAGCCTTCCAGGGTCTGCCTCTGCAATCAACAGATACTTCATCCACAACACCAGACATGGAATCTCCTTCGAAGTATTTCTTTCTTGTCTTCTCTGTACAGTCCATAATGTTCCTAGCTAGTCTTTGGTGTCTATTATATACTAGAATCAATTGACAATGTCCAAAAATACAAAACAGAAACAATATATTATAAAGTGTTTCAACTTCAAAACAAAAGCCTCTCTTTGCAGAGCCTTTCTTTTCGAATTTGGAGGCAATGTTCACAACCAAGTTACCCTCGTATTTATAATATTATCCTGCATTTCCTCGTTGCCTATCTTTTTTCATATCTTTGGCACTCCTTGCCAAGTTGACTTAGCAGCAGTGGCATGTCCCATCCATTACATGAATGTGCTCAAAAAACTTGGCCAAGCAAATCAGCTCCCAGAATCAGGTAATATCAATAGCTTTGGATCTTCCCACTCAGCGCTAGAATCTAGATGTTGGTGGTTCAGTTGCCATGGAGACTACACGTAAAGCCGAAAATTAGTCATTCGTATATATCATGATAACTTTGGTTGGTATGTCATTTCTCAAATGTGGGTCATAGGCTACAAATCATCTTATAATTCCACTCCCTTGTGTTCATCTTATTAATTAATTGAGTCTTTGAGGAAGATAGCTTTCAAATTTGCATTTTAAGAGAGTTGACAAAATTAATTAATACACAAAAAAATTAGTTTAATTTATCCAAATCCGAATCTGATTCAATTAAATTTTATTAAAAAAAATCAAAAGTTTAAATTTAAGTTAACCTAAATTCAAAATAAACCACATCAAATCGTCTTAAAAATTTATTAACTTGAAATAAAACGAAATTAAATTAATTTGATTTTAAAATTGAATAATTTACATCTGAAATAATTTAAATTTGATAATCTAAATTAAAATAATCTAAGTATCAAATATAAAAAATACAGACTTAAAATCTATTAAATTTGTAATAACTCTATTCAAAGTAACGAACACAAACCTGTATTCTATAAATTTTAATTCCCCCAATGGCAGACAAGTAGGGTGCAGCTTCCATTTTTTTTTTTTATCTTTTTATCTGTGCGAAGGTTTCAAAATTCAAACTTTATGTATTTCCAGACCAATTATGAAAGCACGGAACTTTGTAAGTTTAAATTCACTTTTTTTTTTTCTTGAAAAAGAGGGTAAGATTGGTGGACAAAAAGTTTCAATTTGATGGCCTGCCCCATCAACTTTATAAACCCAATGTATCATTGGAGTTCAATTTAATTTGTTTTGTTTGTGAGATCTTATTCTACCGAGCAATTGTGAAGCTGAAAGAAAACATTTGGGAAATTATTGTTTGTGAAACTATGGCCATCTATCGTTCTTAAGCTACAGCTTATGCAATAATTCAACATAAACAAGCTCATGTATATATTGTATATCTAATTCTCTATTCCTTCTATATATATATATATATTGCCCTTTTTGCCAAATTCTTCGAGTGCTCTCTGTACTCATGTTAATTATTGATTTTATATAATCCTTACACTATAATTTCTTTAAGACGTGATGATATATATGACAAAATTTTAAAAATTTATATTTGATATACTATATGTATAAATTTTATACGTTATCAATAAATTATATAATATCATCTCATTAATGATAAATTTTTTAAAAAAAATCAAGTTTTTTTTATTTATTTTAGAGGTTTGTATCTATATACTAACATTTTATCAAATAATTGCCAATGAGATTTTGGCTTATTGACATTGACAAGGAAGAGATACTAAAATTTAAGGTTATGTTTGGTGCATATAATAATAGATATGATAGAATGATAATCATTATATATTATATTTAATTTGCATTTAATTGAAAAGAGATAAGATTATAAGAAGAATTATCATGCTCTTGATATATGATGATTCAATCTTCTTAAAATGGAAAAGATTATTTTTAATTTATGAAATTAAACTTATATATCCTATTATATCCTTAAAAATTACATTAATAATTTAAATTGTATAAAGTTTGAGGACGGATAATTTTGACTAATAAATAAATTATTTTATCATAATCCTTGTATATCAACTACAAGATAAGATAACATTATTTAATCTAATCATATTCATAATATCATTTTATCCTATCTTATTATAATTTTATATACCAAATGCATACTTGAAGTATTACGTTTAAGTCTCACTGTATGTAAGTTTGATTGTTTAGTTAAATTATAATTTATTAATTGATTATTTAATAATGTAACTTGATTATAATATAATATTTGGTTATTTAATTGATTTTATGTATATAATACTTGATAATGAATATAACTTTAAAAATATATATAAATATGTTTAAACAATGATAGCATGAGATAAATTGATAAATAGCAAAATTTTAGCCATGTGAATCATGATTAAAAAATATTTATTGGCTGCTCCATATATTCTGTGAAGTACATCAAATATACGTACATTTAAATAATTATAGCATGATACAAATTGATGAATGGTAAAATTTTAGCTATGTAAATCATTATGCAAAAATATTTATTGGTTGCTTCATATATATTGTGTGATTTTGATTTTGCACAAGATTTAAATATTTTAAATTAAAATTTGGTTTTTATTGATTTATATATTTTTTTACAAAATTATCTTTGACTTGAAATAAGTCTTATATATAAATGCTGCAAATGAAATTTTCCTATTCGTGCCACATTTTGACTTCTCTTCCTTTTTTTTTTTTTTTTTAGCTTTTGTCACTTTTTTACTTATATATATATATATATATGTATTATTATAAAATAATTTCATTTTTTAATGAGGCCGGACTCACTTTTTTCAATGGTTTCTTTAATATTGTATGTATTTTATATATATTTTTACCTTTTTATATCTTTTATTATAAAAAAATCTTTTGTAAGTGGGACCAATAATTTTTTATGATATTTTTTGAGTATGTATTTGATTTTTTACCTTTTTTGTTTTCAATTTTTTTTATTTTTTAAATTATTTATAATTTTTAAATGTGGGATTGACTTTTTTATTTTATTTCTTATAAGGCCCGTTTTTATCTTTGTTTTTTTCTAAACCTTTTTTTCTTTTGATCTCGCATTTTTTAAATTTATTTTTTAAAATATTTAATATATGTTTTTTTTTTCACCCACTTGACATCAATTTTTTTTAAAAAAAATTTAATTAATCTTTTTATATTTTTTCTTAGACCCACTTGATACCAAAATTTTCTTTAAAAAAAAAAACTTAATTAAAATTTTTTTATATATTTTTCTTAAACATATTTAATACTAAAGGTATGCTATGTATTTTTTTTTTTGTTTAGTTTTAAACTTTTTTATCATTTTCTATTTTTTTCTATATTTTTAATAAATAATTTTGTAAATTTCATTTTTTGTACCTTACTTGATATAAAAAATATATCACGTGTCAAATAGTTTTTGTTTTTGCTGTTTGAACCTTTTTGTTTGCAATTTTTTTCTTTTTTATTCAATAAATATTTTAAATATTTTATTTTATTTTTTGTATCGAGCTCATTTGATATTATTATAATAAATATATTTCTTAGTTTTTTTTTTATTTTGATAATTTTTAAAAATTGATATTATTGGAGGTGCCAACATCACATTTGAATTTGATTTTTTTTCTTTTTTTAGTCTTTTTTTTAATTCTATGATATAAAACTTTTTTTTTCAAATCATTACTAATGTTATATGACAACTCAACCTTCCTTTTTTTTTTTTTTTTTGCTTTTTGTTATTTCTTTTTTCCTTTCTTAAGTTTTCTCTTTCTTTATTTTTTTTTCTTTTTTATATTTAATAAATATTTTTTATATTTTATTTTTATTATGAGTAGGGCCAATTTTATATTATTGATTAAAATATCTTTTTTTATTTTTTTATATTTTTATAATTTTGTTAAAAAAGATATTAATGGATGTGTCAACATGGCATATAAATTTGATATTTTTTCTTTTTTTTTTATTTTATCGTACAAAAAATAATTTTTTAATCAAAAATATCAAATTGACTCTACAAAAAATTAAAATATAAAGAAAAATATTAAATATAAGAAAGGAAAAAGAAGTAAATTAAAAATCTATGATATAAATTTTGCACGGAAATCTTATTATAGATAATGTCACTCGGCAATTCAATTTTTTTCTTTTTATTTTTTATTTTTTTTACTTTTCCAAATTTTTTTCTTACTTTAATTCTTTTGTTTTTTAATTAGATAAATTTTTAAAAAAAATGTATGTGTACACTTGACACCTTGCTTAACTATTTTTGTCATTTTTTTTGTTATTTTAATTAGATAATTGACAACAAAGCAATTAATAAATTAAGTTTTTTTTATAAAAAATATTAATAGAGGTATATATATAATTAAGTTTTTTTTTCATTTTTTTTTGTTAATTTAATCATATAGGTTTCAATTTATCAAGATCTAATAGGTGTGTTCTTTTTTATTTGGGATTGAATCGAGATTTTTTCATGAAAAAATAAGACCAAGTCGAAGGTGGATTTATGGTATTCCTTTTTGCTTTCACTATATATGTACTTTAAATTATATTTCAAAATATTTATTTAATTTTATATTTGTATATATGTAATATATTAATAAAATTAGTATTTAATATATTAATTTAATAAAAAATATATATTTATACATAATTAAGATGTAATTCATCAATCTATTCATTATATAAATTTCATTCATTTTAACTTTTGTTTGACCCTCATTCGAGATCTTAACGTATTATATTTTTTTTTATTTTTTCATTTTCTTTAAATTTTTTTAGATCAATTTTGTGAATAAAGTTATATAGGTGCCTACTGTTTCCTCAATTTGCTTTTTTTCCTTTTGAGTTTTTTAATTAGATAAATTTTATAACGAATGGAGGCAATTAATAACATTAATGGTAAAACAACTTATATCCGATAAGTCTCCATTCAATTAAGAAGTCCACATAGTAATTCAAATGAACTTTCTTTCCTTCTCTTTTTTTCTTTCCCTTTTTTCATTTTTTCATTTTTCTAGTTTTTATCTTTTTATTAAAAGTAATTTGTATATATATATATATGTGTGTGTGTGTGTGTGTGTGTGTGTGTGTGCCCAAATGACAATCCATTTGAATTTTTTTTACCTTAAGTTTTTTTTTTGTATTTTTAATTAAATAAATTTTATAGCAAAATGTGCCAATTAATAAAGATGTCAAAAAAATCTGTATCTCACAAGTTGCGATTTATCTCAATTTGATAAGAAATTATTTTTTAATTAGAAGTTGAGTTGAGACATCAATTTTTTTTAAAGAAAAATGAGATTGGGTTGGAATCGTATTTATGGTGCTTTGTTTTGACCCATTTCGATATGCATATAAAAAACATATTTTATTATTTATTTAGTTTTATAGATATATATATGTATTACATTTTTATCTTAATTTAAGAAATATTTTAAGGTCAATATAAATTGTCAATATACCACCTTTTATTAGCTCTTTTTACCCTTTTTCTACTTATTTTTAGGTTTTTTTACTTTATTTGTTTATCACTTCCCCCTCCCCTTTTTTTTTTCACATTTTTAGTATTTTTTTAGATTAATTTAATGAAAAATGGATAAATTAAGATATTCATATTTCATTCTTGTTTTTTTTTTTTCTTTACTTTCATTTTTTTAATTTGGTAAATTTTGTAAAAAAAATGATAAATAGATATCACAAAATAAAAAAATGTAGACCTGTGGCTAGATCAAGTAATTTAAAATAGGATACAATGACATGATATGAAAAGAATACAAAAAAATGAAAGTGACACAGGTTAAATTTTTAGTAAAAAAATATATGGGTTTAACGAAAAACAAAAAATGTTTTTCATGTTTTTCTTGTCGACACGAATTGTGATATGTAATTTTCATATAAAACACAATATAAATGCATGAATTTTTATTGTTTTATACGATATGAATATACAAATTATCAGGTCTACTTGCGACAGTGCATAAACACCTTTTTAGTGATTATTAATTAAAAATAAAAAGAAAAATATTGATTTTTCTTTCACTTTTCAAATAACACATTAATATAAGACAATTAAAGACATAAAAAAAATTAAAAGTATGCAAATAAAACATTATTCATGAGAGAAAGAGTAATTATTAAGAAATAAAAAATATTTTTACTTTCTTTATTTTTTTCATCTATCTTCAAATAACATCCTTATCTTTTTTTTTTCCATTGCTAGTTGTCATTGTTTGAATTTTTTAATAAATGAGTTATAATTAATTGGTGATTTTATAATTTAATAAAATTAGTTGATAAGTTTAGTTCTAATATGACACAATTATGAAAGTTTAAATGATTTAAAGTGATTACTTATATGTAGACTTTGTACATTGGTTTGACAATGTAGGCCTTTGGCCTAGAAATCTTTGATGGAAAAGCTTCTAGGGTTTCTCTTTTCATTTCTAATGAACCATATCTACCAATTAAGAGTTGCCAATAAAAAAATAATAAAGAAAAAGATCTAATTTGTTTAATAAACTACAATTGCTTTCACTTATAAACTATAACTACCTAATCAGATAAACAACTTATTCTATTTGGTATTCTAATATGCACATATGAATTTTGAATTTAAAGATTATGCTTATAGACACTGTATCATTATCTATTGACTATATTTTTATGCATTAATTAGGAATTACCTAATCAAAACACAGATTAATACTCTCTTCTAAGCTTGAACAACTACAACATTTCATCCATCGTTCCCTTATATTATTTTCTCTCACCAATAGTTACAAGCACAAACAAGACAGCTCAAAAAAAAAAAAAAAACCCAAACTAAAAGAAATTTTAGCAAAATTTTTACCATTGCCACTATCAAACAATACTATCTCATTTTCAGCTCATCACCACTAACTCCAAACCAAGAAAAATCATTGAAAATATCAAAACCCAAAGCCCCAAGGATCTATAGTATGCACTAGTATTTTGAATCTACACTCCTATACTTAATTTATTTTAATTTCTTGCCAAATCAGCATTTTTATTGTTCATTTCAAATGTCAAATCATCACATTTCATTACCACATCAATTTTATTAATATTATTATATTTAATTATACTGACTTGTGTGACAAATGTTTTTTTTAGGATAAAGTCAAAAATTTTTTACAAGTTCAGGATATTCTTGACAATTAACAATTCAAGATATCACCCTAATGTTGTTGCCAGTAGCCACCATTACATCTACCACCTTATAAGAAAAATGAACACAAAGCAAGCTAATTAGATACATTGAATAGAGCAAAAACAAAAAGATGTGAACTTATCGAAGAAAATAAACAAAAGGGTAAGCATTAAAACCTCTGGAGCAAAGAAAGAATGTTTCGAAGAAGAAACATTTTGAAGAAACCTCACCATAGCACGCAAGTAAATGGCTTTGTTTAGACTTAAGAACTTAAAATCAAAAGAAAAAAAAAGATGAAAGAAGATGAAGAACACTGTCACCATCACTGCTCCCACCACTGCCCTTTGTTACTATCACTGTCAATCACTAAAACCCAACAGAAAAATAAAAACTTTCAAATTCAAACTTTGCATGTATCAAAACCAATAATCAGATTAATAAAATATAAGAAAGTAGTTTTTAACATAAACAACAAACTCACCAGAAAAAAAAAAAAGAAGAGCTTATGGCAGTCCTATTCAAAGTCCTAAAATTGACAAAATGTAAAAAGAAAAAAAATTTTTTCTTTCTTTTCCTTAAAAAAAAAAAAAAAAAAAAAAACCTTACAGGAGTAAGGGGCTTAACCAATCTAAAAAATAAAAATAAAAAAGATAATAGAGGTAAGGGTTTAGTTTTGGGATGGGTTTCAGTATTAGGGTGTTATAATAGGATTTGAGGCTTGGTTTTTGGCATGTAGGGGACTTAGGACTAGAGGATGAACATAGTGAGAGCTGACGGGCATCCAAGTGGCAAAATGAGAGTATTTTTAACTTTGAAGTTGGGATTTTAACTTCAGATTTAGGAAAATCTAATGAGACTTAGGAAAAACAGAGGCTAGATCGGTGTTTAAAAGGTTGATACAAGTTTGGGGTGAAAATTTGAGGTTTAAAGGTCATCAATTGACGACAGCGGATGACAACAAGAACTAAGGAAAGGGAAAGTTATTTGAGAGAGTGATTTTATTTTTTTTTGCAGAAAAGATAAAATGTTTAATAAAAAAGGTTGTCATATATATATATATATGTATATATATGAGGGATAAAACAAAAGCTCATGTCTGGCACAGCTTGATTCATTTTGTTTAAAAAGAAAAGTTTATTTATTTATTTGTTTATTTGTTTTTGTTTTTTGTTTTGTTTTGTTTATATTTGTGTTTTATATTTAATATATGCTTGTTAAATTTAAAGTTATTCGAGCATAGGATATTTATTTAAATGATAAAAATGATAAAATAATAATAAAATTGTTAAATAAAATGTTAAACTAAATTTTTTTGCATAATATAATAATAATAATAATAATAATAATAATAATAATAATAATAATAAAATTTAAAAATTTTTAAGAAAAACCAAGATTAATGAAAATAATAAATAAAATGATACGATAAAAATATTTCAAATAATAAAATTTCAAATGGTTGCGAATGTTCAACTAATAAATAAAATTTTAAATTCTACCAGAATGATAGTGAATTTAAAAGAAAAATTTTAATAATATTTATTTGAAATTAAAATGAAATAATAAAAATTAGATAATAAAAAATTTGAATGTCTAACAATTTTAGGGTACTTTTTAGGGATAAAATCAATGATAATGTTTAGACGAATTACAAATATGTAATTTTTTAGAAAAGATTATTTTTGAATTATTCTAGAATGATGGATAATTATAAAAATTAAAATTAAAATCATTTTTTCAGATTATGAAATTCTAAAGATCATGAATGAGTGATCTTTAGGAAAAAATTTTAGGGAATAAAATATTCTAAATTTTGTCAAAATGATGAAAATTTTAAATTTTTTATAAAAATGAGAAAGAATTAATTAAATCATAAAAAAATTTTAAATGATATCATAAAAGTTTTCGTAATTATAACGATGGAGTCTTTTTAATAAAATGAATGAATTTTATAAATACTTTTGAGGTGAAAATTTTTTTTTAAAGATTTTATCAGAATGATAAAAAAAAATATTACAAAAATTTTCAATATTTAACTAATTAAATTAAATTTAATAAAAGACCATTTAATTAAGATCAATTTAGGATAACATAAAGTTATTTTTCAAATATGTTTATTTATATAATTTGTAAATAATTAATTTTCATAATTAATAAAATGTGATTATATTAATATTAATACATATATTAAAATATAAAAAAATAGTTAAATAAATAATTATTTAATATAACATAATTTAAAATTTTATTTTAAAATAAATTCAAATAAAATATTATAAATATTAAAAAAATTTCCTCGAGAAAGTGAGAGCATCAATCTAATATATAATAACTATGGGTTCAAAATAATTTCAAATAATTTTGAATACTTGGAATCATTTTTATTTCATTCTTGGACTTTGAAATTTTAGAAATATAAAATAGGATCGATGTGATAATCATGCATTAAGTTAGTTTGGAAGCACTTTGATTAAATCATATTTACTTCCATCATATAAAATAAAATAGAATTAACGTGATAACCATGATTATGAGCCTAGCAGCTTTAATTTCTAATAGAAAAATTATTCCACAAGTAAACTTTATGGGTTTGGAAAGGGCTTTCAAAGAACTCTGATATATATTACAAACTCAAAATGCGATAAATATTTAATAAATATGATTTAAATACATAATATACATTCAATGATTAGTTTTAGGGTAAAGATCAATCCACACCAGGAATTGGAATAAACCCAATTTATAATCCTCTAATTAAAGCCTAAGCTAAGATCAATATTGAATAGTAAAACAGCATGTGGGCCTTGTGACGAGAAAGCCCGAAGAATGATATCCCATTGAGCCCTAAAATCCGGGATCCAAACCAGACAAAGCTATTCTTTTTTGTCTGTCTGATTGTCTCTCCGTACTCCGTAGTTAAAACTTTGTCAACTTGACAGAGGGGTTTTACACGCGCTGTTCTGCTCTGCCTCTGAAGGAAAGGGGAATGGCTTCTTCAATGGCGATTAAAACCCTGTCAAGGTCACCCTTGAGTTGTTCTCCTTTCAGAAAACCTTTTTCTTCGCTTCTACGACTCGTGTCCTACTCGACGAAGTCGGACGACGATGCCATTCCTACAGCAGGAATCAGCAGACCGCTTTCCGACATTCTCAAAGAACTCAATAAAAAAGTCCCAGATTCCCTCGTCAAGCTCCGCATTGAAGCTGGCTTCAATATCAAATATATCCCCTGGTCCTCTCATTATTCTCTCTTTATTTTCTGAAATTTACTCTTCTTTTATCCGTTTTAGGATGTGTAAGATCCAGTAGTTTTATGCCTGTCAATCATCAAGTGCTATTAAAGCTTCTTCTGATTTATCTGTTGTGCAAAAGAAACATAATTGAAAGGCTATGATTTTCCTTCTTTTTTTTAGTCCAATGGCAAGCTGGTAGCAATGAACAGCTTTACTTGCAAGTTAGCTATGAGGGCTGTAAAATGATTACTGAAATTTTTGGATTTATTGTTCTACGAATTAACTGCAATGGACAGCATTTCGAGTTTTGAAAATTTGTTAGTGCTTGGAGTTTGGACTTGGGAATCGAATGATAATGAAGTTTACTGCAAATATTAATTACAAATGAGTTGTCATGTCTTGAAGCAATTGCTTCTTAGCTTATTGACAGAGCAAATTGCTGATTTCAAACGAAAACTCCACAAATTTCATTATCACACGTATAGTCTTTGGGGTCTTATTTTTGTTACAGGTTGTAATTAGAGGCAAACCCCAATAATAAAACTGTAACCAATAAGCTTAATTTATGCTGATATTTCATGCATATCTATGCTGTGGCCTATGCTTTTTATGTGGTTTTATTTTGGGAAGCATAAACTGCAACTGGCCATGACTTTTTTTTTTTTTTTTTTTTTTTTTTTCTGTATCATGCCTCATGTTTAATATCATGAAGCCTGCTGGATTTAGTATGAAAAAATTTGCATCAAAATCTTTTGCTTCTTTTTCCTTAGCATTGTCAGTTGTGGTGAGTTGCATTCTCTTCAGCTTTCTCTGTCAGTTTGATCTCTCCATGGCATTTCACCGTCAATGGTTGTATTTTACATGGTTTCTTATTATCACTTCTTGCTCTTTTCAGGCATATTGTGAATCGGATTATGAACCTGCATGCTCCAGGTTTATTAAAGTTGGAGTTATTCTGGCTGAAGGAATTGCATTTCTTACTTTTGTTGGCTTTCCAAGATTTTAAAACTAAAAGCCTTTGATGTTCCACCTATTGTGCAGAGTGGTCTGGTGAGGTTCGCAACATTACTTATTCTGCTGATGGAAAGTCTGTATCAGTTGTCTACCGTGTAACACTCTATGGGACTGATGCTGAGGTATCTGTTTCAATTTAAGATTCACACTATGACATATATGCAGTGAACTTACTTTTGATATTTGGCATGTGTGCTTAATTAATCTTGCTACAAAGTTGCTTTCCAAATGCATCGTACCTTGTTGACTTCTGATTAATTTCTTTTTTAGCTGAGTTCAATGGACATGTTTTACTTGGTTCTGTGGTTAGTCTTGTTGATAAGCTGGCAATGGTCACTTTTTGTAGTATTTGGTTGCTTCATGACCATCTTGATGGAGCTTCATCAATAATATTGTTGATGATTTTATCCTCTAGCAAGATGCTTACTATTTTTTTTTATCAATATTGTATTTGTTTTTCTTGTGATACATTTTTGGACTTGCTTCTTTGCTCTCTCCTTTTAGGGCTTGTCCTTAGTAGAAGTGTGAAGTTTGGACTGAAGTAAAAAATAATTGAAGAAATAAATGAATGACAGGGTTTTAAAGGGTATAGCTGTGCTTGTGGTAGTCTGGTATTTTTAGAGGAACTACGAGAGTCATGCTAAGAATCACTTTTCTTTTCCAGAGATTTTTTTTTTGTTGCTTCCAGAAGTAAAAAGCAAGTGGAAAGCAACAATCAAATGTAATATATCAATGATACCATTGCTAGTTTCACCCAAACAAAAACGATACTGTTGCTAGTGTAACGAGTAATGACTTTAAAATTCCCCTTTTTAACCCTTAATAACTTTCTCGTTGTAAGATAATATAGTTTTTTAGTTGAAAAGTGACTACTAAGGGCAATTGTCGAAAGATCCTAGGCCAAAATTTAAATGATATTCTTATTCAAATGAAGGACATATAAATGAGCATGATTGTTTTACCTTATAGTCAAAATGATTAAGTAGATTAAGGAAAGAGGCATGGGATTTTTTCTCTTCAATGAGTGGAAACAAATGAATTTGTGATTCCAACATCGAGATCAGCACTCTTACTAAAGTTTCCTATCTCTTGTTATAAGGTTTTCCTTCTCTTTTTCTTCTTCTTTTATTCAAAAATAAAAGTTATAAATTAAAAAAAAAAAATTGGTTTAGGTTCACAATGGACTGATTACTTCATGCATGACTGGTTACAAGTTGGTTAGTGTGGTCTATAGGTTACGTCTGTGATTTGGAGAAAAAGTTGGCTCTCTTTTTTGGACAGGCCATGAATCCCTTTTTTTTTTTTTACATGAAGATTCAAGGCAAGTTAATATGGAATAAATTTCTGGAAGTTGAACCTCTTAGACTGATGGTTCATTGTGCTACAAGTTGAAAATGACATATTGACTTATCATGGGGGTATATTTAGTCATTTGTTTTCAAATTTGTTATAGGGTAAATTACATGTTTAGTCATCCAATTTTAGGCAATTTTTTTATTTTGGTCATCTAAGCATGAAAAGTTACAATTTGGTTACTAATGTTAATGAAATTGTATTTTGGGATCACCCAGCTATAAATCTCCAAAGACATGCTAACGTGGCAATGTTACATCATTTGTTAGACATTAATTGCATGGCATTGCTGCATTACCTAAAATGCCACATGGCATTATTAATTTTGATAAAAAAAAATTGAAGTGGCATTATTAATTTTGATAAAAAAATAAAATTTGGAAATTAGAAAATAAAGATAAATTACATTTTTAGTCGTTTAATTTTTTGAAAATTCTATTTGGTCATCTAACTTTAGACATTTCACAATTTGGTTACCAAGGTTTGTGAAATTGTTAATATTTTGGTGTTACCTTTGATATTGTTTTATAACAATTTAATCACCAACAGTTTTGTAAATTTTAATATAATAAATTATTTTATTTTTCTATTGTTTATATTTTTTAATATTTTTTTGCAGGAGTTAAAATTATGAGCTTTCATTGTAATTAGAATCTTGACATTAGGTAATATGAAACACCTGAATTTAGTTGGATGAGCTGAATGATAAATACTTGAAATAATGTTATTTTAGTAATTTTGGCAATTTGATGGTATTCATTCATTTTTCAAATTTAAATGATATATATAATAAAATAAAAGTTCATAGTTTAATTCCATACAATAAAAATATCGAATGCTTATTTCTTTTTTTATAAAGTTCGAGCATTTATTTTGGTATTATCCTAATATATTTCAATGTGGTTAACATAATTAATAAATTAATTTATTATATTAAATTTAAAAAATGTTGGTTAACAAATCATTATAAATCCATGTTGACAATAGAGATCAAAATATTAATAAATTTTATAGACGCTAGTGATTTAGTTGCGAAATTTTCAAAGTTAAGGGATCAATATAAAAATTTTTGAAAAGTTAAGTGACTAAAAGTGTAATTTGTCTTTATTTTTTATTTTTTACTTTTTTTCCGAACTTTATAATGTTACGGTAATAATGTCACCTGGTATGTCAACTTTCTTGGCAATGTCATGTGGCGTTTGACAGATGACGTGGTATTGTCACATTAGCATGTTGTTAGAGATTAACAACAAGGTAACCAAAAAAGACAATGTCATAAACAGTAGTGATTAAATTGTAAATTTTCATAATTATGTGATCAAAATAAATATTGCCTAAAGTTAGATGATTAAACGTGAAATTTAAACTTTATTTGATTTCACTAGTTAAATTATTCTTTGGTGCTTTAGAAGACAAGTTTCCTTCTTTGATGGTTTTATCTGTAAGATTCTCTTTGCAAACAGTCTATCTATATTCTTAGCTTAAACCATTGTTATGTAGTTGGCTTGCATAGATATGAAAAACTTACAACAAAATAGTTTTAAGAGTTGAAAATCCTCAAAATCTGGTAGCAGTAGATAAACTTTTGACTTGATAAGTTTCATGCATCATTAGAATTCATTATTTCCTATACCCTCACTGATTTGACAACAATTTGTGAGAAAAGAATATAAATCTATATGAATGTTATACATCTGCATGGTGATTTTTATCGTATTTTCATCGAGTATCCTATTGCTGGATGCACTATAACATCTAATAGAACAAATTCAACAGGTTTGTGAAACATGCACAGGAGTTCTTTTAAGTCAATTACTGAGGAGTTTTTTAAGATGTAGTTTATGCTGCATTTGATTCTTGATCGATGGATTTTTCTTTTCTTTTACCTATAGCATAATTGTTTTTGACTGATGAGTTTGTTTTCTTGTATCATTGCACAAGATATATCGAGAGTCTACAGGGACTGCTTCAGTTGATGATCCCGGCTATGGAGATCCTGTACAAAAGGCTGAGGCCATGGCATTTCGGCGAGCTTGTGCACGCTTTGGGCTAGGGCTTCATCTTTATCATGAGGACTTGTTGTAGATAGCTGAAGAACTGTGCTTTTTTCGTTAGGAAAAAAAAGGAAAAAGCTCAAGGGCTCGACATCCTTTGATAGTTTTGGTCATAAACTGTCTTTTTCATCAAGCAACATGATGTTGCCTATAATTATGTCCTTTTGAGAGTAGAAGTGAAACAGATGTTGGTAATGAAAAAACACTTCCTATATATAACCGGGTCGTTTGAGAATTTACCACAATCTGGGTTTAGCTTGGCATGTAATGTAAGCTACTGTTGATGCATTTTTGAAGCCTGTTTGTGGTGAAATTCCTTATTCTTAGTATTTGTGGTTTGCTATGTGTAAAGATGGGCCTTGGGGAAACTCGGCGCAATTTCTCCCAGTGAAAGAGAATTGCGTTTGTGATAAACAAAATGGCAGTCCGCCGCTTATTATTTATCAGTTCATCGGGTTCAACTGCTTGCCATTGGTTTATAGACTAGGTCATTCTGGAGTGAAAGTATGTTTCAAAAAGAGAAAGCTTCATCATGTTCTTTTATTTATTTGAATGTTAATTTTGGAGTAAGAAAACCATAGTTTTTGGTTAATTAATTTAAAAACTCAGTTTATTAATCAAATTACACGTACTAGTGATACAATTTATTTTTAATAAAAAAAGGACTTAAAAGATAAAATCAAAATTTACCCGATCCAAAATTTAAAGATTTATATTTTAATTAAAAGTTATTTAATTCATTGTAAGTTTTTAGATTTATAAAAGGGGTTAATAGAGTGATATATATTAAAAAATTAAAAAATAATTTAAAAAAATGTGTTCATTTATCAGAAAAAGACTCCGATGAAGCTGTTTAGATAAAATTTATAAATTAAAATAAAAATAAAAAATCAAAACCAATAAATTAAAAGTTTTTAATACACAGACTAAGTGTCCAAAGTTTGAAAAAAATCTTAATAGATTTTTATATACTATTTTAGATAAGTAATTTTAGTAAAAAATTAATTCATTGTTAGGTAAGTTTTTAGATTTCATCTGCGGGGTTAGAAGATTGACAGTTATTAAAAAATTAAAAAATAATTTAAAAAATGTGTCCATCTATTAAAAAAAGACTCAGATGAAATTATTAAAATAAAAAATCAAAACTAATAGATTGAAATGTTTTATCACATAGATTAAGTGTGTAAAACTTGAAAAAAGTATTACTAAATTTTTATATACTTTTTTAGATAGATAATTTTTGTAAAAAATTTGATAAAATATTTAACATTAAATAAGTATCAACTAAATTTAAATTCTAAACAACATTTTCAATAATTTTTTGCGTATTATTCATCTTCTTATTGAAATATTCTATCAATTATCGATTTTGATTTTTTTATTAAAAAAATTTATTAAATCATTTTTAGTAAGGAATTTTACAAATTTTGTCTAAAAAATTTCATGCAAAGTTTGTCTCTATCTCTTAACCTCACTTGTTTAAGTGAAAATTTATAGTTATAATGTATCAAATACTGGTTCTAACAAGCTTAGATGGTCAGGAAAGTAAATTTGTTTCGTTTCAATGGGTGGATCAGTTTCTTGAAAAGGTTTTTCCGGAAAAGAAAACTCTCTCCTTCACCCTTTTTTTTTCTTTTTCATTCAAGACTTTTACTTTGGTTTAAATATAAAAAACTTTTAATTTAAAATTAAATAATAATTCAAGTTTTTATAATTTTATTTCAATCAATTAAGCTTTTAAATATTTATTTTTATTTAATAAAATTTTTAAATATTTATTTTCATCCAATTGAATCTTTTAAGAACCATTATTCATTAATTTTCATCGAATTAAAAATTTAATTGGATGAAAATAAATATTTAAAAATTTAATTGATTATAATAAAATAATAAAAATTTAAATAATTATTTAATTTTAATTTGAAAACGTTTTTAATATTTAAACCTTTTACTTTTTATTTTTCCATCATCCTAACTAATCAAAACCCAAAGATTATAGAAAACATAAAAAAAAAAAAAAAAAGATTTGGAGAAATATTCTTTTTTAATTTTCCAAGGATGAAATGGAGCCTTGATCCCATCTTTAAAAATTCTCTTTTTTTTTTTGTTTGAATTAATTGGATAATTGAGTTACCTTTTTAGATTAAATCGAGCAATTTTTTAAGGATAGATTAGATTTAGGCACTAATTTATGTTGTAAAAAGAATTGAATTCAAAAGAAATATTAGCCAGACTGAACTAGTTATAATTTCAGCAGAAAAAAGATAATAATAAATGCAAACAAATGTGAACTTTAGCACATCATAGTTTGGTGATCAAGGACAAAAGATTAGTAGAAGTAACATAAGAGTCTGAATTAAAGCATATGTAGTAGTAAGTAGCATATATATACCCATTCTCAAACCATATCATGGATGGAGAATGAGAATGAATCATCTTCTAAGTAGCATCCATATATCCCTACTTACAATCCAAACCATAGAATTATACATATATACATATATAAAAGAGTAACAAGTTCATCTCCAAGTGAAAGAACTTCAAGAGACAGAGAGAGGGTGATGAGGATTACCTATGTCCTAACCATGGTTGGTATGTTAGAAGAGAATTAGAACCCTATGGAACCAAAATATCTCCCTGGGTTACATGCAAATGCTTTGAGCTCCACATCCATTCATGGAGTTGTTTTCATGATCGATGAAATTAATATTACAAATGCTAAATGCAAAACACAAACACACTAACCCTTCTATTATTTAATGAAAAGGGGGCTAACACTTCCAAAGTTTAGCCACAAGGAATTTACAAGAAACATGTTAGTAAACATTATCTTCCCTTTCCCTAAGGGAAGATATGGTGTTTGTTTTAGAGTACATATTAATTAGAATAAGATCTGAAGTGATGATGTAATTGGTAAAAGCATTTATAAAAATATTACTATATGGTCCTAGCTAGTTTTTAAACCCTAAACACTGGATGTTAATGCACAAAAAACCTTGGGGCACACAGTGCCCGTAATTTTTGCTAAAACTGCCTCATTTTCAAGAGCTGATTAGCCAAAATTTGAGGGATTAGCCATTTAAAAGACTAAAGTTTGAAGATGAGAGGCTTGCTTTTTGTTGTTGAATTTACAGTTTTTGCAAACCATTTTCGTTTATTAGCCTTGCCTAGGCTAAAATAAGTCACAAAAATCTGTTTTAATTAGCCTTTCCTGGGCCGATGGTACCAAAAGTTTCCCAACTAATTACCTGATCCAGTAGCTGAGTTTGGTATTTAGATAAAAAAATGCCTTGGTTCTCTTTAAGGAACCCTAGTTTGACAAAGATGCAATGCAAAAAACATGCATGATTCTCCAATTTCGGAGGTGATTTATGGCCCCTATGGAGGGCTTTTTGTGTGTGTGCCAATGCCCAGATGCCAAGCATGGGCTTTGAGTTAGATAGAGAGACAGAGGGAGAAAGAGAGCCATGGTTAGGCCAAAGGTTGAGACTTTAGAGCAGCTGAAGGAATGTGAAGTAGCTAGCTTGGAATCATGAGTCTCTTAAGGATGAGGGATTCCCGGGGCATGAAGAGCCATGGTCACGCCTGTGGCACAGCAAAACACACTGTCAAAGATATTAGTAGCCTATTCCAGTGGCGGTGAATAATAAATAGTTATAAACTGAGACAATTATGCACAACTGTACTTCAAATTGTCTCCGTGTAGCTAGTATAATACACAAAGACGACAGCCTTTTTTTTTTTTTTTTTGTTGAGAGGATTTTCAACAACTTGTTTCATAGAAAATTGTTATTGTCCCGAGAACTGAGACTGATCCATAACTTGAAGACTATAGATTCAAATGTAAAGTTCCGTTTGTTAGGAAAAGAAGAAGGAGAAAGAAAAGAAAGTTGTAATTTAATGGTTGAGTTTTAAAATAGTAGATATTGTTATTTGAAAAAAAAATTGGTGCAAGTAGCACAAACCTGATTGCAAAGGTGGAGTAGGTGCAAGAGACATGGGTGCACCATAGTGCTGTGGGTAACTCCCAGTTGAGTTAATGGCCGAGTACTGAAAAAGGTGGTGTGGATACTGGATACCATATCCCTGGCCAGAAGAGTAGCCGGTGGTTCCACCCGATCCTTCTCCAAATTGAAGATATGGGTAGAATGTTGTTCCTGCACCAGTCATCAACCCACCAGGGCCAGCACCATACACTGCATACTGGGCAGTGGCCCCTCCATACACGTTATAGTAGCTCTGAATTAACCATGAGAAAACAATGCCAAACAGTTACTAATATTTTCACTATAGAGGTGGGCACCTACATGCTTTATAGCCAAGTTAATGTAAGTGTAAAATCAAGCTCAAGATACTAGTTGGACAATGTGTGTTGGTAACAACAGTCAATTGGAACAAGCCTAGCTAGCTAGCTAGGAATGCATATAAATATATATCCTAGTGCTTGCAGCTGCACAAAAAATTGGAGGAGTGTGGAAGTGTGAAGGATGGACCACAAGTGCAATTTCTAATGATGATGGAGGTTGAAGACAAAGCAAATACACCGCAGCTGTATACAATGCAAATGCTGGGCTAGTTGGACCAACCAGTACAAAGGCTCTGACCCAGACAGACGTACATATAACATGTTTCCACCCACTCAATTCTGATTTGTAAATTGCAACCGCTTCAAAATTAGAAGTTTCTCTGAATAAAGATTTTCTAAATTACGGTATTTTAATAATACACTTTAGATCCTTTCTCTTCATCTTCCGAAGAAAAATGTCATGTCCAAATTAGAGTTAAAAGTACAAATGTGGAAGTTGAAAGAAAATATTACTAGCATTTTGATTCCAAAGAAAGAAAGTATAAAATAAAGGAATTCCATTTTTAGATGTCCCATGATAAAAATCCTACGCACATTCAACACATATCAATGAACAGAAATGTAATAAAAGCCAATATCTTTTGCCGCTGTTGTCTAAATGGGTTATAATTTAAGTGAAACCTAGTCCGTTGTCATTCTTGAATGTTGCCCTAACTTTATAGAGAATTCGTTCTACTTGGAGTTACCAAATTGTTAAGAATTAAAATTAAAAATTCAATATTTTATTAGTGAATTGACAGCTGTTGGTTTATTACTAGCTTCAACCAGTGATAAATAAATATTTAAAGGCCAAGCTGTGCGCCTTGCCTCTTACCATGCCTGACAGTATTTAATTTAATACATGATAAAATTAATTATTGCCCCATACATATATAATTAATTAAGATAAATAAAGGATTTTAACTAAAGAACATAGTAGGAATTAGAAATCTATGGTTGAATGAGATAAGCATTAGTTTAGAAGTAGAATGAAGCATTAAGCAAAGGTAAAAGGTCATTGTCTCCTAAAAAAAAATAAGCTTGAAAACGCATCCTAAGAAAGATGTAGTGAGGATAAAGCAAACAAGAAAAGAAGAAATATTACTTGTAAAAAAAAAAAAGAAAGAAAGAAAAGGAGAAATCTGTACAAACCGTGGGGTAATTAGAGTAATCTGGCGAGTATGGAGAGTACCTGAAAGAGTTTGGAAGGAAATGACGAAACCAAAAAATAAATAAAGTTTAAATTAAAGTTAGATAAATCACTCGAGAGTCACAGTTCAAATAGAACAAACATGTAAATGATAGAGGACAAATGCAGTTATTTGTCTCTCTCTCTACATATATATATTTATATATCGTTTGTGCATCTGCACGCCTAACATAACATGTTTATATATATATATATATATATATATATATACATATACACACACATATATATATATATATATAAGTATGTGTGTCTGTGAGTGTCATATCATGTCTTCATTGGGTTCATTGGGTTCCATATATATGTGCGTAAAGGCCTGTTAAAAGAATTTTGTGATGGAGAAAGCATCCATCATAAGAATGATTAATTAGGTTTGTTTAGGGTTATATCCATCCCAAAAATTTCATGGGTAAGTCGGGTTTGTTGGAGAGAGAAGAGCGTGGTCGACAGCCCTAACTTAAGATTAATGGCTGTCGGGTATGCGTGAGTTGGCAAATGCACGTGCATGATACATTCCAGCAGAAAAGAGAAGAGATAGAGAGAGAAGAAGAAAAAAGAATATACCCATAAATATTATAAGAAATCCCTTGTTGGATGGCATAATGAGGGAAGGTTGCAGCCGAAGCAAAAGCTGTTCCTGTTCCGACTCCACCCCCAAACCCTGTCCGAAAAGAGCTCATTACCCTAAAATTCCTTCCTGTTCCTCCTGCACTCGCAAATATATTGAATTAAATATTCATTCATTTTATAACCTGAACAAACAACAAACCAGATTCTTACAATTAATATTGCTCCTTTATGGTGGACTGCATCTATATGCATGTCCCATTAACAATCAAACATTACGGAAAATAAATTTTCAATATCTACGACTTCTTGTACTTGTTCATTTTTGGCAGGCGCTTTAATTTGTTTGCAATTTTAATTCCAAGGGAAGAAAGAAAGACGTCAGTTGAGGAGACCATAATGTACGAGTAGTAAAATATATAGACGCATTTCCCATGCAGCTATAGGCACGATCGAGTTTCACTTCACAAGAATTTACATCATCCACATTTTTCTCCAGACAGATGAGTTAGGCGATAAGACTGCCGCATTTTCCATTTTTTGAACAATATTCATTGCAGTATTTTATAGTAATTTTCCTTTTTTTTTTTTTCTGAAAAAGGAATATTTGCTTGGGCCCTGGAGATCAAGCTTTTACAGATAATGTTGTTAAATATATATTTATATAGTAACCACTTAACTAATCTTGATGACAATTAAGCAATGATAACGCAAAAAAAAATAAAACCAAAAAGAAAAAGAAGAAAGAAAGGACATGATCAGAAATCTTAATTTACTCCAGATCTGATATATATGCGATGTGATCCACCCAAAACCTAAATTCAGGTAAAACCAAAGATCATTTAGATACAAATAGGGTAAAAAAGTAAGAAAAAGCTGTTCACCATGGTTTGGAGTAGAAGGTTTGGATCTTTGAACACCCAAAGAGGCAAGATTGCAATTAGCCCTTCTCCCATCGATCACAGGAGCAGCATCAACGCAAGCTTTCATTGCCGCTTCCGGTTCACGAAACGTCACCTATAGATACGTACAAAACATAAACACCACATTTTCTATCTCATCATATCCATTATTACGAAATATTGGTCTATTTTTTTTTTTTTTTCATTTTATGTAAAACCCATCACTAGTCACTAGATCTTTTATTTATTTGAAGATCTAGTGAACAAAAACATGGTAGGAAGATTGAAGAATGAAATGAATAGGCAAAAACAAAGCAGAAAAAAAAAAAGGAAGCAAAGCATACAAATCCATAGCCTTTAGATCTGCCAGTGGCCTTATCAGTGATGACGACAGCCTCCAGGATCTCACCAAACTGCTCAAAGTACTTCTTCATGGTATCCTTCTGAGTCTCCCATGCCAGCCCTCCTACAAACACCTTAGTATAAGTGGTGTCACCAAACTGACCTGCCAAATTAGCTGGAGTCATCTTTTTTCTTCTTGTTTGATCACTATTCTCAAACTAATAAACAGAAGCAACTTAGTTATGATCTCCTCTGGCTTCTCCACCCTTTCCTTTGATGAGCCTTCGTTTATCGTTATCACCCCTAGCTAGGAGAAACACAAAACAAAATAAACAAAAAAAAAAAACTGGTGGGGGTGATATTTTGTATATGAAAAAATACAAGCTATTGGATTGGATTTGGATGGATCTTCTCTAGATTTAGAATAAGAGGTAAATTTGGTGGTATTGTTGATTAATAAATAAAGAGAATTAGGTCAGAAAGAGAGAGAAAATTGGGAGGGAACAGAATGCAAAAGTTAGAAAAAGAGGCAACACTCTCTTCGTAAAACGGACATGAATTATATACATAGCAGGCCCCACCGCCTTGCATTCTGCATTTCACCTTCTCACGCGCCTTCTTTTTCCCATTCGGCACTCTCCGGTTGAACTGTTTAGTAAGTTGCTTTAAGGGTCACCCACGGGCTCTCCTGAGAATGGGATTTATAAAAAGAAGAATTATTACGTCCGCCCAGCTGTACTTTATATTATTTTTAATGGAAGAAGATGAAATGACTTTTCTAGCCTAAAAACTTTAACTTAACTACGAAATTTACCATGCAGATTTGGAGTTATCGGTTGGAAGGTCCGTAGTGGCAGAAACGGAACGGGAAAATTAAAGGGAACGAGAGCGAATTAGGGAGACTGTAATCACGCGAGAGGTCAATACTCAATCATCCAATTGCTCGTTGCTTCTTTCTGAAGTCGTGATTCTGTGAATGTTTCTTTTCTGCAAAACAATAACAGAGGAATTGCAATTTAAGATAATAGAGTGAAAATAATTACTTTTTCTTAAAATGAGAAGAATAATTATGAAGTAGGATATGTTTGTGCCCAAAAAGTAAAAATACAAAAGAATCGAATATCAATAAATATGACTATATTCATAATTTATTTATTTAATTAATGAATCATATAATATTATTTACAATTATTTATTAAACTTAATAAATAAACAAAAAATAACATGTTTATGAATAATTCATCAAACAATCTATTAGTTTTTACAAATTAATAAAATATAAATAAATTTTATTATATTTATAATTTATTTATTTAATTAATAAATTTTAAAATATTATTTATAATCGTTTATTAAGTTTAATAAATAAATTTAAACAAAAAAATTAAACATGTTTATAAATTATTCATCAAACATTTTATTCGTTTATATTCTTATAAAAAGAGAAAAATAAGTTTACTTTCAAAATTGACAATGAGAGAAAAACCACATTTATAGATTTGTCTCTAATTAACAATAATTGAAAAGTTATAAGCATGAATTGAAAAGAAAGTATTTTAATCGAAATAAAGATATCATTGTGATATTGCAAAATCAATCTAGAGAGATCATTAGGTGACAATATCAAAAATTAATTTCATTTTGGTAATAAAAAAAAGGACAAGTAAATTCATGGGGATAGCAAAATGAAGGAGGATGTGTATTGTGCAAGCAGGAGTCATATATTCTTTAGTTGTAGTTTTTCGAAACTGTGTGGCAGCAAAGTTTGGCGACTTTGCGAATTGAGCAAGGAGGTAGATGGCTGGGAGAATGAGCTTCAGTGGGCAGTGAGTCAGCTGCGAGGGAAATCTCTATTGGCGATCCCCTTGAGACAAGCTTGGGAAGCATACTTATATCAGATATGGAGGGAAGGGAACAAGAAGCAATTTAATAGAAAAGAACGCTCGGGTGAGCAGATTTTGCAGCAGACAAAGGATATGGTCAGGCTTAGATTGGTAGGACTGAAGAACATAGCTCCTGATCAACTCTTCACGCAGGAAAGAGTTGCGTGAACGATGGGACCTTAAAACAGATATTCTGGTAGTGTAATTTAAGGACTGTCGTAGGCTGTTGTATTGATAAATAGAAGTATTGCAGTAGGATTTGTTGTAATGGCAGTTGGTACATAGTAAATTGCTGCTTCTTGAATAATAAAATTATAATTTATCCAAAAAAGGGTCAAGTACATAGTATATTATACTTTGTAAGTTATTATTGACTGTATTAAAGTAGATTCTAAAATTTATGCTTTTTAGTATTATCTTTATGTAATTCTTTTGTATGACAAGATCGGTAAAAGATTGAGATTGCGGTTAAAAGCAATAAAATTATAGTTATACAAGTCGATAAAAAGTTTTTCGATAAAAAAAATTTTAAGCTGTACAGTATGTTTTTTAGTACTTTTTGTGTCATTGAAGGTAAAATTATAAATCTGGCCTTATATATATTTGAATTAGGGATATGGATAAACTTGATTGTAATATTAAACTTGGTTGGTTAAATGCTCAATTTGATCCCCAACTTGAAATTTGGTCAGGAAAAGGGTTAGGTTAAGGGGAAAGACATTGAGAGATTAGAGGATTTGGATCGATGGAAGAGGGTGTTTTGGGGTTTTGAAGCTGACAAGTTTGAGCTTAGATCTAGGAGAACCTAGAAGTTTTTAAGGAAATCCGATTTGATAGAAAGAAATAGGAGGGAAAGGGGAGAGTAGGTGGATGAATTTCGGAAGAATTTTGGCATCGGCCAACAACGAATGAAAGCAGTGTGCAGTGGTGTGATCAATGATCGGCATCGATATGGATTTTTAAGGGGCTGGAGGTGGTGTTCTTATGGTGAAGTTTTTAGTGAGAAAAGGTGTGAGCTAGAGAAAGAGGAGGAGAGAAAATAAAATTAAAAATATGTTTTTATAAAGGTTGCGAAACTCTGCATTTTGGGCGAAAGAAAAGGAAAAGAGAAAAAATAAAAGGAAAAATAAAAGATAAAAGAAAACGAATTGAATAGCATCATACATGGCACATGATTTGGTAATAAAATTACATGGCACAGAGATCAACGACAAGTTGGGACTTAGGCGATTTCGAACCACAAAAAACTGGGTTTAAGCGTCGAAATCTGAATTTTCTTTGAATTTTTTGGGTATTGTTCACCTTTTGGTTGAGAGAGTTTGGACAGAGAAAGGTGAATAGAGAAAGGAATCTCAAAAATGAAAAAGAAGTTTTGATTTTTAAAATTAATAGAAGGCAGCAACGGCATCGTTTTAAGTGTAAAAGGAAACGGTTCGGTTGTAACCCGAATTTCAACTCTCGCCTGGACCCACATTAAACCCAACCAGCATGTCTTGATTCCTTTTACTCTTTTTTTTTTTAATTTAATTTAATTATTTTGATTTATTTATTTATTTTTTATTCATATTTATTTTTTAATTATATACATATTTAATTATATTTTATATTAAAAATAAAAATAAAAAAAATAATTTGGATTCGTTAGAGACAAATAAATAATAATAACAATTTGTGAATTCAATAATTATGTTACTTGTTCTATATGAATTAAATAATTCTTTTTTTTTTTATTTCAATTATAAATTCTAAAGGTCAAGAATAGTTGATTTTTTTTAGAACTTTTAGAGGAAAAATTTTATTTAAATTCTTCAAAATAGCAAAAATTTAGATGAAATTTTAATATTATAATTGACATTTATCTTTAACCAATTATAAAAGAAAATTTAAGATTTTAATAATAAATCTGATGATAAAATTTTTTAAAAAATCAAGAATGGTTAATTTTTTTTTAAAAATTTTAAGTGAGAAAATTTTTTATATATTCTAAGAATAGCAAAAATTTTAGATAAATTTTTTATATAAGAATAAAAATTGATAAAAATTCCTTTTACATAAAAATAAACAAATTTGACAATGTAACTTTTTCAAAAAAATGAAAATTTTAAACATTTTTAAAATAAAAAATAATTATTAGGAATTTTACTAGAATTAATGCAGTAAAAATCTAAATTTTATTTCAATATTTAAAATAATAAAATTCAAAAAAATAAAAAATAATAAAAGACTTTTTACCCATAACCACTTAAAATAATATAAAATTAATTGGTAATAGATTACTTGAGCGTTGTGAACTTGTAATATGTTAATATCTTTCCCACACAAAATTATGCCCTCAAATTTAGTTCCATTTAATATATCAAAATTTAATTCATTTTAAAAAATTTTAGTTAAACTTAAAAAAACTTTTAAAAATAATAAATTCACTTAAATAATCAAACAAATCTAATAAATAATTGATGACGATTTTATTATTTTATATCTAACGGTAGAATTTTCAAATTTACACGTTCTAACACTATATCTATAACTTGGGTGTAATTCAATCGCATTATTGTTGTGGCACGGACCTTGAAGCCAGAGAAAATTATAGAATGACGAGCAAAAACACAGAGCTTCTCGGAAGGAAACAGCGGAACTCCACTGAAATACAAAAAAAAAAGTCAAAAACAAGCATGGAACCGTGGAAAATACTGCGAGCTATCTTTACAGTAACTCGAAAATAAATATCATAATTTAAAATATGATATATTAATATAATATAAAAATAATATAAATAAAAATATAAAAATAATATAATTTAAAATGTTTTAACAAATTATAAATAAATATTATAATATCAAAAAATCATATTTAATATTTTTATATCCATATAAATTATAATATATGATTTTTATATAAAATATAATATAAATATAATATTTTACACGACGAAATAAATTGTTAAGCATATTAAGAGAGTATGAAAACTACCCAACGGGGTCTTGCTCAAAATTTCACTTCACACAATTCTTGCAATATTGGGATCAACTTAAACCATGCAAAAAAAACTTAGCTCAGAGAGTCCATCGAACCAGGAGGCTTTGGAGTTAAACCCTCAACCATATGACGACCAGCAAGAGAGTCCGTTTCTGCAGGGAAAGGAAGAGAAAAAGGGAGGAGCACCAGAGATCTCATAGAACCCAAGCCAGTTGGCAGACATGACTAGAGGGGTCCCACTATCCCCAACCAAACAATCAGACACAAATCCTACCTTCTCAGAGCTTCCAGTCGACCTTGGGAAATCCCCCATTCATCTTCAGAGTCCAGAACTCAGGAGTGGCAAGAAGCTCCAGCCGAAAGGGTGGCATAGAGGATTCCAAAAAGCAGAAGCTCTCTATTTCCACTTCTAATCTACCCCTAGCCACTGCAGAATTTTGAGGAGTTGGGCTTAGCATAGTTTCAGGATTCCTCGTGGACAGAAGCAAGACTAAACCCTGCGAGATGGATCCTAGTAATTCAAGAAGCATAACTTATCAGTCATCCCTTAAAGATCATAATGAATTGCTCCCAGACAATAGTGCTGAAGATAAGGGCCAACTTACATGTGAAAGAGTTTCGCATCTGCATCAGTTCATCCATTCTGTTAGAGGATGATCTACTGATCCATAAGACCGAACTATACCCTAAGATGAGGAAAAAGAATCAAGGATGGACAATGAGGGAGGAGCAAGTTATCCCATGTTTCCAAAGGCTATCTGTGAGCCACCCCAACACCCAAGCTCTATCTATGTCAGTACCTCTATGGAATTATAAGGGTTCTAGACACCCCGATTCTGTCCCCACTGTAAGGGAATTAGTTAGTATACATGGACCTGAGATCATGGTTATTACCGAAACCCGGGTACGGAGTGTGGATGTCCGTTATATCATTGATAGGCTTCCTTTTAATGCTTGGAAAGATACGGTAACTATTGGTTACAAAGAAAGGATTTGGCTGCTTTGGAGGTATGATTTGGTGGATGTTGGAGACATTGGTGCTACCGAACAGGAGATCTATGCTACAGTGAAGGTAAAATCTTCTAACTTATCTTGGTTATTTTTTGCTATTTACGCTAGCCCACGGTATAATGAAAGGATATTGCTTTGGAAAAATTTA